GCCTGGGCACATTGTGCTGCAGGCTCGGACTCAGAAACGCAGACCTGGGAACATTGGTTCTGACAGGCGTCAAAGCAGGGAGCGATTGGTGTTTCCTGCTGGGAAGCACATGCTTCTTGGCACTGCATCTGACATTGTGGCATGCAGGAGACTTCTTGGTGCATGACTTGTTCGACACATGAAGAGGAACACGAAGGACGGCAAGCGGGGACACATTGGGATTCGTAGGTGATGGGTGGGAGAACGCTGTTTGTGCTACACATGCTGCTACATTGAGCCTGACACTGATTGGAACACGTGATGGTAGGCATATAGCTTGGACATCCTGTTTGGCATTGCTGTTGACAAACAGGTTGACATTGCTGGACTGTCACAGTGACCAATGGAGGAGGGGGAGGAGGTTGAATACACGCTGAAGCGCATTGACTTTGACATTGATTGCTACAGAAAGCAATGGGCTGATGTTGAGCGATACAAGATTGCTGACAAATGTTCTGACAAGTGGGTGTACACTGCAACACCATTGGCTGAGGTGTACAAGAAGACTGACAAGAGATCTGGCAGGTGTGTTGACAAGTGCTGAAGGAAGAGGTGACACATTGTTGGGCACAGCTTTGAGCACAAGCGGGTTGACATTGAGTGGTTGTGATACGCACAGGATGAATTTGTGGAGCTCCACATCCGCAGCTGGAGATCAGTGGTTGACTTTGGCACAAGCATTGCATAAACTGCATTTGGATAAGCGCGCAGCTACAGAGAGCCTGGGTTCGCATACAGTCGCATTGGCGCTTTTCTCGAATGATGTTCGCCTGAAATCAAACGGCTTTTAGAAGTTGATTGTCCGGCATAAGTAATAATTGTTAGAATAAACATTAGCACGTTATCTGCTCATCATCATATTTTTCTGAAAAATTAAAATTTGCGCGAATTATGTGAGCTCATATACTTCAAAAAATAGCATGAAATCATTTCAAAAGCTAGGTTGTACCCATATGCAAACCTTTAGGGTGATCAAC